CCATGGAATAGTGACAGTAGGACACCTGCGTGTGGAAGTGTTTGCATACATTACGTGCTCAGAAGCCACGGTGGAGTCTCCACTATCATTACCTGACCGAGGTGGACAATGTCCTAGCAGCACCACACTGCCAGGACCTCCACCCTCCCACTCTGACTCACAGAAGAGACACCTTGCCTCCTTAGGCCCCATCACTTCTGAGGACACTGCCATAGCCCATGGCATGTTTGGATGGATGTGGGTTGAGTGTTCATCAGATGTGAGAGCTAGCTCAGGGCTAGGTGTCAGGGACACAGCAGAGCCAGCCTGCTACTGATGGTGCACGGTCTAGTAGGGAGCACTTAAACCCTTCTTTAATTGTTATTAATTAGTTTAGTTTATCATTAACAATTCCTTGATCCCTTAATAAGTCAGTGTTTAAAATGTTTGCTTCTTTCCATTTGGGTTCAGGATCTCGGTAGGACTCCACATTGTGATCTTAGAACCCTTTTAATCTGTACATTTACCCCTACTCCTTCCTCACTCCATTCTTTCCCTTTGCAGTTACTTGGCTGAAGAAACTGGGTCCCTTGTTCAGAAGAGTTTGGCATTGTCTGGCTGTTGCTGACTCTGCAACCTGGGGGTATTCAGCTGTGCTGCCTGCTGGGTCCCCAGACTGGGGACATCATCTTCCCATGGGCAGAGCCTACCTGGCGCTCTGTGAAACTGGCCAAGTGGGCAGTCAGACCCTGGTTGCTCACTCAGGAGTGGCCCAGCATCGGGGCCCGTGCCCTCCCACTTCCCTCCCTGTCCCTTCCTTTGCTGGAACATACCCGCATGGCTCGCCTCCCTTGCCTCCACCACCTGGTCTTCTCTCTGTCTACCTGGTGCTGTTCTTTCTGGGAAAGGTGGGATGAGTGCTGGCTGCCACACACACTCTGGCCTGTCGGAGTTATGCCAGCCCCTGGCCTGGCACTGATGTCCTATAACCTATCCTTGGCACATAGGCCAGAGAGTGTGACTTCCAAGACATGATGCTGACTGTCCTTCCTGCCCTCCCTCCTCTGGGGACAAGCTCCCTCTCTGCAGAGAGCCGAGGTCCTTCCCTCCAGGGGATACTGCTGCTGCCTCCTTCATCTTCCCCTTTCAGCCCCAACCATATGGGACTCTTGGGGTCCTGATCAGGATTCTGTGGCCTGTGACACTCTTTTCTTCATTAGGCCCTGCATACTCCTTGCTGGTCTGTCCAGGAGCTTCTCCCTTCTTGTCTTGCTCTTGGTGATCTTGCCAATGCCAGCCCTCCTCCAAGCCTGTCCAAGCTTCCAAAGAGCCCTCATGCCCTTCATACGCTTCCCAGTGTGCCATCCATTTGGTTATTGTGGAGTGCCATCGCTGGACGCCTGGAGGGAATAGAGGAGAGGTTCCTATATGGCGGGAAAGTACTGCCCACCTTTGTAGAGGAAGGAAGGACTTGGTGACTTTCTGGTTTCTTAGCTAGGGTCACAGCCAGCTCCCCATGGCAAGTGCATGTTGGGCTTAACCAGCAGCTGGTTTTCTTGTGGGGCCAGAGGTTGGGAGGTGCCAGTGCTCACCTGCTTGAGGTTCTCCAGCAACATCCCTGTGGAGACTGCCACACCTCTGCCTCCTCTTTTGCATTCCAGCGGGAGGGGAGATAGTGAGAAACCTTGTGATTTTGTTTTGGTTTTGGGCCTCCCTAGGCCAACTTCCATCTGTTACCTTACCCCAAAATGTCCTTGGAAGGACATTTCCAAGTCTGGTGTGGACTGGGCTGGGTTGAAACCCATTCTTCCCAGACCAGGCTAGAGTCAGCCTCACTCAGCATCATCTTGAGAAAGCCCATTCACTTGTCTGCCCCTTCACTGTACCCACTGCTCCTGGAAGCTCCTTTTATCTTCCATCCATTAGGATGGTGTCATCTGCAGTTCCCCTCTTGGTTGAAATGGGCACATTGCCAGTTAGTCCTAACTCAGGCATTGCTGGTCCCAGGGCTTGCAGAGCTAGAGTGTACATGAACTGTGAACCACTGAGTGGCCTAGGAGACTCAGCCAGGTTGCAGCCAAAGCTCCTGTCTCTGTCCCCTTCTCTTTCACCAACATAAGAAAGTGGTTGAGCCCGTGAGCTTGGGCTGCCAGAGGAAGAGGCTGAATGGAAGAAGGACCCAGAAGCTGCTGGGATGAGTTTGCCTTCAACTGAGCAGCCGGAAAGTCTCCTTGGACTTCCTGAACGCAACATTCTCCTGTGCCCAGAAATTTTTCTCTGTGTTGTACAGTATTTTAATAGACTGGGAAGAAGCTCATGCCCCATAAAAAAATAATTCCTTTAAAGTGTCTACACTCTGAGTTTAATATATTCACGGTGTGTAATCATCGCAGTTTTTAAATTCCAGAGTATTTCTGTCACCCCGAAAGGAAATCTGGTCCTCATTAGCATTCATTTCCTATGTGCCTGCTCCCTGAGCCTCTGGCAACCGTGATGCCCTCTGTCTTGCTAGACTTGCTTACGCTAAACGCGTCATGTAAACGGAGTCAGTCTATGTGCTCTCCTGTGTCTGGCTTCTTTCCTAGGCACACGGTTTTCAAGGCACATGCATGTGGTGCTTGGTTCTCTTTTAAGGCTGAAAATGCCTCCTGGAGTGAAGGAACCACAGTTCATCCTTTCATCTTTTTTGATGGCCATTTGGGTCATTTCTTTTTTGGTGTAGGGTTAGTGTTGCTGCTGTGGACATAGGTGTGCACGTGTTTGTGTGACTACACTGTTTTCATTTCTCTTGCTTGTATACCTAGATGGTCTGGGTCCCTGATTACTTCATACTTGGCATTTGAGGACCTGCCAGACCGTTTATCCAAAGTGGCAGCACCATTTCACATTCCCACCAGCAGTGCACTCGTTTTTCCTGGTGTCTTGTGTTTTAGCTGTCCTAGTGGGTATGAAGTAGTATTTCATTGTGTTTTGATTTGCATTTTGCTAATGATTCCTGATGCACTTCTTTTCATGGGTTCATTGGCCATTTGTGTATCTTTGGAGAAATATCTGTTCACATTCTTTGTCCATATTTAAACTGTGTTGTCTTCTTATTTTTGAGTTGTAAGATTCATTTTTTTTTTACATATTCTGAACAGTGAGCCCTTATCAGATTAATGATTTACAAATATGTTCTTCCATTCTCTTGGTTCCCTTTTTTTGTGTGTATGCTGGGGATTTAGCTCAGGGGTGCTTTATCACTGAGTCACGTCTTATTTTGAAATAGGGCCTCGATAAGTTGCTTAGGGTTTCACTGAGTTGCTGAGACTTGTCTCAAACTTGTGATCCCCCTGCTTCAGCCTCTCAAGTTGTTAGGATTACAGGTGTGTGCCACCATGCCCGGCTGTGGGTTCTTTTCATCCTCTTGAATAGTGTCCTTTGTAACACAAAATTTTTAATTTTGATGAACTTTAATTTCTCTTTTTTATTGTTTGTTGCCTGTGCTTTTGATGTCATGTGTAAGAAAAATTGCCTTATGCAGCGTCATTGTTTGTATCCTGTTTTCCTTTTGAGAGCTTTAGCTCTTAGATTTAGGGCTCTGGTCCATTTTTTAGTTATTTTTTTTAATATATGGTGTGAGATAAGGATCCAGTTTCATTCTTTTGCTTGTGGATACACAGTGATGATCTGAGCACCATTTGTTGAAGAGACTGTTTTGTCCCTGTTGAAGTGTTTCTTGGCACCCTTGTTCACAGTACAGGCATACCCATCGCTCACCCTTCCATATCTGCAGGTTCTGAATCCTTGGGTTCTGCACCTGCAGATTCTGCATCTACAGACCTGGGAATACTCAGAAAAAAATAAAACTTGGGTCTGTAGTGAACGTGTACAGACTTTTTTCCTTGTTATTATTCCTAAACAATATAGTGTAGCATCTATTTCACATAATTTTACATGGCATGCTTTGGGTAGCAGAAGTCACCTAGAGAGGATGTAAAGCATAGGGGAGGGTGTGCGTAGGTTCCATGCCGTCACTGGACCATCTTTTATGAGGGGCTTGAATCTCCATGGACTCTGGTTTTCGTGCTGGTGCTGGAGCTGATCCTGCATGGGTGCTGAGGGGTGGCTGGTAAAGGGATTCCCCACCTGGCCTCACAGCTTTTCCCACACTCCCCAGTCACCCATTTTTCTAACCAGTCAGATGTCTTTGCAGCAGGGACAGATCTAGGTTTTGTGGGACCTTCGGGTTTTGTAATTTGGGATGAGGTGGGGTGGGACTTGAGAAAAAGAGCAGGAAAATGACTTGTTCTGTCATGGTTTGGGGAAAAGTGATCCCCAGGCTGCGCCAGGGCTACTGAAAGAGCTTCCTTCCCAGGAACCCCCTGATCTTTCTTTGTTGGCGTCAGATCCCTCGGTCTGTCCCTTCTTCATGGAGGCCTCTCGTGAACTCTTCACTCACAAGTCTGTTGAGCCTGCTTCACCCTGGGTACTATTCCATGTTGGGGGTGATGCCAGAATCATGTTCTCATCCTTTTGGGTGGCCAGTGCAGGGTGGTGTGGACAAAGCCTCCTGGAAACCAGACAGTTCTCATACTCCTCTTTACTAACCTGTGCCCACCAGTTGCTCTGGGCTGTAGCCTGTCTTGAGCTCCTTCCTGGCTAGGGTCAGGCCTCAGCACTGCCCCTGGCAAGCTGTGTGTTTTTGAATCTCAGTTTCCCCATTTGCCAGCCACACAGAGAGGCTGAAGGGAGCGTGTTCTCGTGAGGCTGCATGCAACAGCAGCATTTCTTGTAAGTGCCAGGGAACACTGTGACTGATGACTGTTGTTTCCTGAGGCCTCCTTTGCTCTGTCCACTGAGTGGTAAGTTAGCTTATTTGAGTGATGGAAGAGGAGAAGCAGCAGAGGAGGATCTGGGGGCAAGACAAACAGAACTAGATGAAGGAACAAGCAGGGCTGGCAGCTGGCAGCTGTCCCTGTCCTGCAGCCACAGCCTGCCACCCGCCCCTCACACGGACTTCCTTGTTTCCTTTGTTCAAGGAGGAGCCAAGGAAGGTGTGCTTCACCTACGACCTGTTCCTGAACCTGGAGGGCAACCCACCTGTGAACCACCTGCGCTGCGAGAAGCTCACCTTCAACAACCCCACCACCGAGTTCCGGTACAAGCTCCTGATGGCTGGCGGGGTGAGTGTGACCTGCTGCGGGCCACCTGTCTGGCCCAGTAGCTGCCGTGCCTGCCCAGGGTGCTCTGCTGGCTCCTGGGCTGGGCTGTGTGAGTACTCGTCACACAGCTGTTGCCTGGCCGAGCTATACGGCCCCGGGGGCTCCCTAGCCAGTGCTGGGCGTTGGCAGCTGTGGATGAAGAGTTGAGACACGGGCTGTCCTAGCGTCTCCTGGGTGGCTGTGGGTAATTGGCATCTTCCTGCATGTGGTGTGAAGCTGGGTGCAAGGCCGGTCTGTCCGCGTGGCCAGGCCTGTGCCACCCTTTAGCTGATGGAGCAGGGCTGTTGCTGGGCACCAGGCCATTCGGGAGGCACTCTGTCAGTGCGCACTGCCTGCCTTGGAATTCCACATGATGACCTGAGCACAGTCCTCCAGGTGCCTCTACAGGCTTTGGAGATGGGCAGGGCATAGGGTGCTGATGGCTGATGAGGAGGACAGGCCACGTGGCTGCTGGCTGCCCCATCTGTGGAGGCCAGTGTAGGCTAAGGCTTGGTCATGGGACATCGAAGCCATTTTTGGTGATCCAGGGTCACCGAGCATGCTGAGATGCCAGCCACCCTGTTTCCACGCTATGGTTGGGCCACACATGTGTGTGCATGTGTGGGGAAGTATGTCTGGTGTGTTGATGGTATGTTTGTATAGAATATATGTGGTGTGGTGGTGGGGTTGGGGTGTGTGCCTGCTTAGGTGTGTTCTGGTGGTGTTTTTACAGGATGTGTATGTGTCATGTGTGTGTGTGTGTTGGGGGGTGTTTGTGTGGGGTACCCATGGTTTGTGTGTGTGTGTGTTTGTGTGTGTGTGTGTGTGTGGTGAAGAGTGTGAGGTGTGCATGTGGTGTTGGGCAGGCTCACTTCCAAGTGGCTGTGGGCTGGTGTGTGTGTGTGTCTTTGGGCTTGGGCATAACTCCTGCCTTCTTGTTCTATACAATTGGGTCTTTAGGAACTTTTTCTTCTTAAATAAAAGTAATGCTAAGGAAGGCTGAGGAAGTCCCGAGTCCTGCTGTGTTCCTAGTAACAGCTTTGCTTGTGTTTCTGCTCTGGCTGGCAAGGGCTGGGAGAGCCTGGGGAGGCTGCAGGATACAGGAGGGCTTATGCAGAGGGGGACCAGGTGTGGGGAGGGCTGGTCCCAGAGACCTCCCCACTCTGCTGTCCACCACCTTTTTGTGGCTGTGTATTTTCCACGATGCATCTGTGGGCGTCCCCTGAAGGCCCATAGTCACATTTCTTTGGGAAGTAGTCAGCGTCCCTAGGCCTCTTTGCCTCTACAAGAGGCATTTCCTGTGCTCTGAAGAGTGGAGACTCTGAGGGCATCACCTCAACACATAAAACAGGGCGGGGAGGAGCAGGTGAGCCAGCAGGGGAGAGGAGGTCTGGCTCAGTCTGCCAAGGGCCATTCTGGATGCAGCAAGTGGCCCAAGGCACTTGGGCCAAGGTCCACATAGTGGTCTCCACCAGGTGCTGTTTCTTGGAGAGGGCTGCCCAGGGGAGCTGGCTGGCCAGTCTGGAACTTCCTGGTCTTCCTGGGCTGACAGCTGAGCAGCGCTTTCTAGCCTTAGGAGCAGCCTGGTTATGGGACGGTGGCCCTCCCAGGTGATTTCCAGGACCAGGTAACTGTGCCCCTGTGCTAGGCCTTCCAGTCTCCTTAGTGTCCTCAGGGACAGTGTTTGCCACCCCACAGCAATGGCCCCAGCCCTGTCTGTGCAGCTGCTGGTGCTGGGAGAGCTGGAGGAAGGAGCCAAGCTGCCGTCTGTACTCCCTCTTCACCAGGTCTCACTTGGTGATCTGGAACTCAGGCTATCCTTGGGAGCAACTGGAGCAGGGCTTCCCACTGCCTAGCAAGTCAGAGCCAGCCCCATACCCTAGAGCTGTCTCCTGTCTTCTGCCCATTGGCCAAGGGCCTGTGTTTCTGTCAGGGAGCCAGGAACTCGCAGCAGCACCCTGTGGAGGAAATAGCAGAGCCTGCTGAGCCACGCGCCTCTCTCCTTTGTTCTTAGGATCTTGGTTAGCAAAGAGATACATGGAGGGCAGAGAATGCTCTCCTTGGAGGGTTTGATCTAGTTAACTTGAAGGGAGGGAAGGTGAATTCCCACAGGAGTAGAAGGAAAAAGGTCTGGGAGTGCACCAGCCAAAGCTCCAGGAGCCATCTGTGATTGGGGCGGGCTTCTGTCCTCTGTGAAGCTGTGCATGTGTGGAGCTGCCAGCCAAGGCACAGAGGATCCTATGTGGCATGCTTTCAGGGAACTGGGCTGGTAGTGTACGGCTGGGGGCAGATGTGTCCTTGGCGGCATGCCTAAGTGTTGTGGACAGGGGGCTCTGATGAGCAGCTCACAGGAGAGACAGCCCCAAGGCTCTACTGCCCTCTCTGAGCCCAGTGTCCCGTGGTGTCTGCAGATGAAAGGGTTGGCTCATAAGGAATCCCAGGTGCTCAAGCTTGTTAGTGGTGCTTCTGAATTAAGGCCTTTTAAAAAGTGCCTTTTATTTTGTTCCATCTTGCTGCCATCTAGAAGGCTTTCTCTGAGTGGCTGGCCCCGTCGCCGTGTAAACCTGTAGTGTTGATGTTGGAGACCTTCCCAAGCACTCTGGCCCTGCAGCAGGTGTCCTAGTTGCTGCTGGGCAGGTAGCAACTTTCCTGGAAAGACCTCAGCCCTTCCTCTTCTGTAGCCTTCTAAGCAAGGGCAGGATGGCACTTCCCTCCTCCCAGCTGTGTATGGGGCAGCTTTGTAGACCCCTGCAGCCACAGGCTCTGATTAAGTCAGCTTCAGTTGCTACAGGTGGTAGGAGGAAGACTCACCCCTTAGGACATGTGTGACCTGCTGACATCGCATCCGGCAGATTCCTCAGAAGCTACTCACTGCTGTAGGGCCATTTGCCCTGGTGTCCACCTGGCTTCTCCCTCTCCTGGCTGTGCCTGTGGGCTCTGAATCTCAGTGCTTAGCCTCGGCTTTGGCCACAGCCGCCTTCAGGGTTTCTTGGCACACTCTGCAAGTCTTCTTGGCTTGGCCTTCCTGTTCGTCGTGCTTGGGGCCGAGTGACCCCTGCTGGGCCCAGCCATCCTGGGATCCTAGGCTTCTCTTCGCTCTGCACACTGAGCCTGCTTCACCCGCCCGCCCCTTGGCACCCGGCCCTTCCACAATTCTTTTGGGAAAGTGGCTCTAGCTCCACCTCTTCCCTCCCCACAAACCAAGCTCCTTGGCCTTCAGCTGCCACCACCCCTTGCTCATTGATAACATCTGTCTCTTCTTTGTCACTAGGTGATGGTAATGCCCGAAGGAGCAGAAACGGTGTCCAGGCCCAGCCCTGACTACCCCATGTTACCCACAATTCCACTCTCTGCCTTCTCTGACCCCAAGAAGACCAAACCATCCCACGGCTCCAAGGTTAGTGAGGTGGAAGGCCCAGTCACGTGAGAGCACTGGGCCCAGCCATGGCAGGTCCCAGCCAGGCACCCCCTCTGCTGTGCTGGGCCTTGTGCACCTGGCCTCTCCCTGGCATCTTGCACCTTGAGCTCTCTGCTCCACCTTGCTGCTCACTGCCGCTTCCCTAGGATCACAAGGAATAGGGCAGGTCATCAAGGGCCCTTCACCTGTTCCTCTTGAGGCTGTAGGCCCTACCTAGCACCCTCCTTTCCCTGTTGAGCCAGCGCTGGGCCTTATGACTGCTCGGTTCAAAGGCCATTGTTGGACAGAGAGTTTCCGTTGCAGGCTGTGGCTGCCTACCTTCTCCGGTCTCCTGAGTGAGGTTCCCACCCTCGGCTGTTCCCGGCTTCGCTTCTCAGCAGCGGCTTGCCACAGAGAAAAGCTTGCGTGGGGGTGGCCAGTGGGGGCATGATGTAGGTGATTGAGCTGAAATCCTCTGAAGAAGAAATGTCTATCATCTTATCTTGGCCCAGGTGGGCAGGTGGCACTCAGGCTGCCTGAAGAACAAGCTATAAAATGCTTTGGATGGTATTGTGATGTGCTTATAAATGCATATAAACCCTTGAGCCTGCATTGTGTTCCTCTGCGACCACCTGCTCCACTCAGCCTTCTTGGGATTTCCAAGCTCCGTGTGGCTCTCAGGGCAGCTGCTGGTTGGCATGTATCTGACCCACTCCACTGTGCACTTATCTTCTTGGCATTCTTCTTGCTTCACTTAATGTGGGGTGTTGTGAGCCTGGGGCACCACTGTGGGACGAGTAGAGCTCTTAGGAAGTCTTCTCGTCTTACCTATGAGCACTGCTGGGTCAGACACCTCCCAGACAGGGTCACTCTGGCTCTTTCCACAAGGCCAGTAGGTCTCGGAAATCCTCAGATTCGTCAGCATCTTGAGTGTGGAATGTGGCCCTGGGGAATCTCCTCTCCACCCTCTGGCCCAGACAGACCATTCCCTACTAGGGATCTCAGCAGCTTCTCTTCCATACACCCCACAATTCTTTGGAAGTCCATGACAACTAGGAAGGGAAGAAGTTGCTATTTCTTATGCGTGGATGCTACAAAGGCCACCTAAAGCCCTATGAAGAAATGCCTTCCCAGGTGGCAGGGACACTGGTAGCTGGCATGGCTGCAGATAGAGGGCAGGGCCACATCTCTTGCTGGACCCCTGGGATCCTGCAGCCCAAGGGCATGTCTGCTGGGCTCAGAGCAATAAGCAGGCACTCTAGCTCTGTCCTCTGCCTCTCAGAGCCTCTGTGTGGTGTTCCAATGCAGCACAGGGTCCACCAGGGCTCTTCTCCATTGACAGCTCTCCAAGAAGCCCCGGCTTTACCAGCATGGTCCCAGCTTCTGAACCATCATCTGTGTGCCATCCTTACAGGCACAGGCCTATGAGAAGCCTCTCCCTTCATTTGGGCATCTGTTTGCCCCCACATTGGTTCTCTGCTACCTGGGCCTAGGGAGACAGGTGGCCGGCCGCGTGCTTGAGGCTGAAGGGCCCTAGGCCTCACCCATCAGAATCCCCCATGCCAGGATACTGCTGGTGATCCCGTTGTTGCTCCTAGGGCTGAATCAGTCTCTGGTAGTCCCACTGCCTCCTCTCCCCCAGGTGGCAAGGTGGGCAGGAGTGAGCCTCTGAAGAGCCCTTTGGACCGCCTTCTGGGCTCACACTAGGAGGAGCCCTGGACACCAGACCTGCTCACCTGAAGACAAAGGGGCTCCCATGGTGCCTTATTGGGCGTCAGGCAATTGCCTGGTTGATCTTTCACTAAAAGTCAGTTTTAATCATTTTGAGGTCATGGGCATCTTTGGGAAGGAGGCTACATGATCTTCATCTCTACCTTCACATGTTTCCAAAATCCAACATGAATTCAGAGAACCCAAGGTCACAGGTACCTGTGTAGGCTTTTCCCTCTCAGAAGCCCCTGGTGGCACACACTGGGAGCCACTTTAGATGCCATCAACATGCTCCTGAGGTTTGCTCTCCTTCTGTCACACCGGCCCAGCTCCTATGACCTGGCATATGTACTCTTTTTGAGAAGAGGCGGGGATTTTATGTGCCTTCCTTTATTTTTTGCCTCCCTAGCAGCTTGTCGGTATTGGAGTCCCCTTCCATGTGCCAGCCCCAAGGGGTATGCCCCTTGGGAGTGCCCATGGTCCCAGCTGGCTCTGGCAGCTTGTGGTATGTGCATCCCTTCCCACTACCGTGGGATGTCAGAGCTGGACCCAGTCACATGACCTGCCCTTCTCCAGGAAATGTGTCTCTAACCCTTTGACATCGTTTGGGTTGTGGACTTGCAAGAAGACACAGCACGCTGCACAGATCAGAGATGTGGAGGCAGCTCTGTCCCTGGATGCACAGGTGGCTCTGAGAGCAGGTGGCAGAGTGTTTACCTGGCCAGCTGTCTACTCTGTGTGCCCACCTCCCTCCTCCATGATGCTCTTGGCTGACTCATGGGAGCCTCCAAGGGTGCTGTGGGCCGCCCTCAGGTCTGGCTGCTGTTGGTCTCTTCACCTATGAGAAGTGTTCATCTGGAGAACTCTGGGGCCCACCGTGCACCTTTCCACCTGAGGGCTGGAGCCTGCATCAGCCCACAACAAAGGCACCCATCCAAGATCCTGGGACATATGGGGTGATTATGGAGGGTTGATAGGGAAGATGGGGCTTCTGCCTTCTCCACTGGCTGTGTTGGGGAAGGAACATGGGGAAAATACAGATATACGAAGAGCTCAGCCTAGTGATCAGCCATGCTGTCAGTCACAGGCACTGGCCATAGTGTCCCCCTTGACTGAGAGTGCTCCCTGTTTACCAGGCCTGTGCCCTTGCCCTGTGATGTAACAGAGGTAACATCCTGCCCAGGCTCCCTGGGGGCTTGGGCAGGGCAGCTTTGCCTGTGTTCCACCTCTGTCCCTAGAGTGTCTGTCCAAATCCAAGTCCCCTGCCTAAATGCTTGAATTGAAGCAAGGCAGAGACCTGGAAACGTCCTCCCTGTTTCAGGAGAACAGCTCAGGCAGTTCATTTCTGAGAGACCTGGATGCTGTTTGTTCTGTGCAGTACCCAGGAACCCAGCAGGTGCTCAATAAGTGTTTAGCCTAAATCAGATAAATGACTCTGCCCCAGGCATGCATTGAGGACTGGCGGGAGCAAGGCTGGAGAGTTGGGGATCGGGAGACCTGCAGGAGAGGGTCTCACAGGGCCCCGGGAGGAAGGCCGAGAGCCACCAACAGGGAACATTCAGGATGTGCCCTGTGGGCCAGAGAAGATGGGCAGGGCCTGCTCCCTAGGCCACTGGAGCCTCTGGTGCCAGGCGAGCCTCGGACCTCCTGGGCCAGGGGCAGCTTACAGGCATTGGCGGGGCGGCCAAGGTGGCCCTGCTTGCATCTGACTCACTGTGCTCTTCTTCTTGAATCCCTCAGGGAAGTCAGCTCAGTTCCAAGGGATCTTAGCCTGCAGTCGCCCGGGACCTGCTGACACTTCCCAGTAGTTTAAAGGGACAGCTCCATTTAAAAAAACTCACCTGCTGCCTTACTTTTTCGCTTTATGGAAGATTTTCTCTAGCTGAGTCTCAATCAGGTGGATCATACTTTGTAGGGGTTGGGGGTGGCGGAGCCGGGTGGCCCCGAGATGCCGGCTGACCATGTCTGTCTCTGCCCTGTGCCCTCCCTGCTCTTGGCATTGCAGGACGCCAACAAAGAAAGCAGCAAGGCCCCCAAGACACATAAGGTGACCAAGGAGCACAGAGAACGACCCCGCAAGGACTCGGAGAGCAAGAGCTCTTCCAAGGAGCTGGAGCGCGAGCAGGCCAAGGGCGCCAAGGAGGCTGCTCGCAAGCTGGGTGAGGGCCGGCTGCCCAAGGAGGAGAAGGCCCCGCCTCCCAAGGCTGCATTCAAGGAGCCCAAGATGGCCCTGAAGGAGACCAAGCTGGAGAGCATGTCCCCCAAGGGGGCACCCCAGCCCCCGGTCCTGCCCAAGGCTTCCAGCAAGCGGCCGGCTGCCGCAGACTCGCCAAAGCCCAGTGCCAAAAAGCAGAAGAAGAGCAGCTCAAAGGGGTCCCGGAGTGCCCCCAGCACCTCGCCCCGCACCTCGTCTTCCTCTTTCCCGGATAAGAAGCCGCCCAAGGATAAGAGCAGTACCAAAGGAGAGAAGATGAAGGCCGAGAGCGAGTCCAGGGAGACCAAGAAGGCCCTGGAGGTGGAGGAGTCCAACTCGGAGGATGAGGCTTCTTTCAAGTCAGAGGTGAGAGCTCTCTTCTCCACCCCTCATCTTGTCTGTGCATCTGCACTGCTGGGGGCAGCCAGTGAAGGGCACCCATGAGGCAGGTGGTGGGGCGCTGGGCCACTCACTGGCTACCTGTGGCTGGAATGCTGGCAGAGGAACAGGCTGGAGCCAACGTCCAGGGCTTGGTGGGCTATTAGTTCTTCCTTCTCTGTGTCACTGGTCCAGCCTCCGCAGCTTGGGCCTCAGTCTTCCCTTGCGTCCTGCAGTTGGGCCTGCTTAGGAGAGCTGCCTCTATAAAGATGATAGTTAGTGGATCCCGGATGGGGTTGTGGGCAGCTCTGGTAAAGCATATGGTCTGATGCCTTGGTTTAGCTCTGTCTCCTCCTGTAGCCCCCTGCACAGGCCAGGGCCCCGGTGGTCAGCTTGGAGCTAGGCAGAAAATCATGTCTCACCGTCCCTTCCTTCCCGGCCATTGCATGGCCAGCCCATTGAGGAATGCACTCCCTCTGCTAACTTGGCATCCCCAGGAATTTTAGTCTTGCTGTCCCTGACTGGAAGTTCAGTGATGGTGACTGAACTGTACCCAGTTTTGGTCCCTTCCCACCCATTTGTGCTGACCAATACATAGCAGGGACACTGCTACTCGTAGTTGGCTCGCTCTCAGCAAGCAATCTGTCCCTATGAAGTGCTGGGCTTGTCTGGCAGCAGCGTGTCCAGGAGACCCTCTGAGGACCATTAGCAGGGACACTGTGCCATAGGACTTAGAGCCCAGCCCTCAGCCTCATGGCTGGATCTTGAATCAGCCTCCACTATTGGCTTTGTCTTCAGAGGCCCCTTGTGACAAACCTGAATGAAAAAGTGCCCAGGTCATGGCCCCAGTGGCTTTTTTGGTTTCCAAATGGTACTCACGCCAAGGCGGGAGCTTTACCTTCAGGGATGCTGCATGGAGCTGCACTTGGGAGGTAGTTCCTGGAGAAGAGGTCAGAGGGGCTTTATGTTAGCAGTGCTGGGTTTGTGAGTGTGTGGCTTCCAAGAGTACCTCACTGGAGGTAACAGCACCTGCTGGGCATGGCTGTCCATCCTGTGGGTCATGGCACACACCCCTGCTTCTTGGGCACCCACCAAGCTGGCAAGACTGAGCACCCAGCTTCTCAACAGCTGGTGACCCACCAGTGTTCCTGGGATGGGGGGATCCCAGGCATCACAGAGGCCCTGGACCACTCAGGGGCTACCCTTCCTACCCTCCCTGCCCTGCAGGTGCCCTCTCTGTCTTCCTCCCTGCCCTGTGTAGCAGCCAGAGCTCTGGGCAGGTCTCAGTCTCTTCCTGCCCATGCCAGGGAAATGGTCAGGGAGCTGGTGCTGGGTGAGATCCAGCCCCACAACCAGGCCTTTCCAGGTGAAAGCAGCCAAAGCCCAGCTTATGTCAAGATATGGGGGCTGGAGCTCCATAGGGCTTGCCTGGTCAATGGCCTCACCTTGGGTTTCTATGCTGACGTCAGCAACCACCAGACGTTTGTGGGGAACTGGATGTTGAGCCTGTGGCCTGAGAGTACTATGGTCCCAAGGCCAGAGATGCCCCAGGAGACTTGAGGTTTCTGACTGGTGAGCAGCCCACGTAACAAGTGACTTTTGAGTGGTGCCTCAGCCATCCAAGGTCCCTGCAGACTGACCCCTAGGCCACCAGCAGTGTGCCCAGTGATTTCTGATGTTTCCCAGCCCTAGGACTTGGGCAGAGCACAGACTTCTGTGGCAGAAGATGCAAAGAAAGGCCTCCCAATGGCAGTTACACAGCCTCTTCTTGACTATCTCAGGCCTTTTCTGCCTGGAGGCTGCATGTGGCCTCACTGCTAGAAACTTGGAGTCACCACACCTCGACACCCCTCGCCCCGCTGTCCTGGTACTCGGCTTGAATAGAGCCCACTGGGCACGTTCCTAGGCCCAGCTCCCCAGTTCCTCTAGCGGTTGCTTGGAGGTCTCCTTGGCTCTTGGGGCAGGACTGAATGGTTCAGTCAGTCCTAATCCACTCGGGGCCAGTTGTGCTCTGAAGGGAAGAGGATAGGCCATGCCCCTCCTGGACACTTGACATGGCCCAGCTACTTTGGGCTTACCAGAGTGTTGTCAGCCACACCAACTCTAGGCTTTTTAAATCGTCTCCACTTCCTTTTCTTCCTGTCCTTGGATTCGTGTGGGAGAAAGATGGCAAGCATGGCTGTGAGCTCCACTGGCTTGACTTTGCTGGACACAGTGCCAGAGCAGGGGCTCTGTGGCCCTCGCCTCTTCAGGCCCCGCTGACTGGAGCAGCCTGTGGGCTGGACGCCACTTCTGGCCCCCAACACCACTCCATAGATAGGCATGGGTGCAAGGGGGCTGGGCCAGCGCCTGCCTGCTGCCCTGCCTGCTCCCAGCCCTGCTCACACACTCTCCCTCTGCCCCAAAGGCCAGAGAACGATTGGCTCCTACCTGCATGTGCTCAGCAGAGGTTGGCAGGGCAGCTCCTTTGCAGATGGGGAAACTGAGACTCAAGACTGGGGGCTGCCTTGGCCCAAGTAAAAAAGCCAGCTGGTGAGAAAGCAGAGGTTAGAACAGGGACCCAAGGCAGTGGCCATCTGTTTATCCATCACTTACTCTGCCCCCACAGACACGAGTGTGTACATGTGAGAGGATCCATGTGGCTCTAGGCCCATCCAGGGTTGGGAGGGGGTGTTCCTGGACCCAGGTTTTGTGGGGGAACCCAACTGGTCTGTTGGACTTCCCCCAAGTGTTCCTACAATGAACAGTGGCCAATAGGAAACTATTCTGCTGGGTTCCTGGGGCTACACCATTCCCTGGGTCCCAGAGAACACCCTTTGTCAGTTTGGGGAAGGTGGGCCTATAGGGACACTGGCGTGGCAGGCTTGGAGAGGCTGGGTTGGGTCAGAAGAGGCTGCAGCAAACCCTGGAGCACACAGAATGCAAGAGGTGTGCCCTCCCCAGGCAGCCTGATTGCACTCTGGATCACCAAGCCAACAAAAACCTAGTGCCTTCCTGGTGCCACTTTCATAGGGTAAGGCTACCCTGGTCCCACACACCGTGGGGACAGAAGACGCCAGGGGAGGGGGATTGTTGGCATCTGCACTGCCAGAGGGCATGTGTGCCCTTTCTTCCCCTCTGGCCTGGAACCCCATGGGATCCTGGGCACTAGAGGTCCTGGTTCCTATGAGTCAGGGACTCCTCTTCCTGCATCTTCTCTCAGGGCTGATGGCTCTAGTCCCTCTGCCAGAATCCAGACTAGCTGGCTGCCTCTGTTCCCTCCCCTCTCCCCCTCCAGCCCTCCTCTCCCCTTTCCACAAGGGGAGGGCTCCATGTACTTAATTCCTTTATCTGGTCCACCAAGGGGCAGGGCTGGCGCCCAGTTCAAGCAACAGTGTGGTGGGTCTGAGGTAGCCTCCTCAAGGTCTGGGCAGCTTCCCAAGCCTCAGGCCTGGTCTCCTGCCCAGGTTTTGCCACACACACCTTTGGTAGCCATCTGCAGAAACCCACACCCAGAGCAAGGACCAGACCCAGGATCGGCCCCTTTCCCATGCAGGTGTCTGTGTGGTTGACTCCTGGCCACCTATGACTTCTTGCTGGGCTCCTGACCTGCTGCGCCTTGTCACATTTGCTTTGGCTTGACTGCCCCCTGGTGGCTGAGTCAGGGTGCACAGCTTCAGGAAGAGGAGGAAGCATGAGCCAGCTTCCACTGTGTCTGTCACACTTGTGCGTGCACACACACATGCGCACACGCTGCTCATCAGCTTCTGGGTGACTGGAGGGTGGTGGTAACACTTGGGTGGGAGGTGGAGCTTTGTGCTGCCCCAGGAACCCTGGGTTGGGTATAGCTGTGGGTCTGAATGAGAAGCCAGGCCTCCTTGTCACCTTCCCTGTCCCCACTGTGCATCAACCAGAACCTGCTCCTATTCTCCTGGGCCAATGGACAAGCTGCCTGGGGGGCTGCAGCTGCTGCTGCTGCTGCTGAAGCCTCCATGTGGAAAGGAGGCCCCTCCACACAGCTGTGTTGTGGCACCACAGCTGGTGGGTCCTGTGCAGGGTCAGGGTGCCTAGGGGACACCATGGGAGGGGGGTTGTTGGCATCTGCACTGCCAGAGGGCATGTGTGCCTGTTCTTCCCTCTGGCCTGCAAGATGACTGTTTTCTTCCTCTTTCTTTCCTGCCCGCCCCCACCATGGGGGTGAAGTCCGCCCAGTCCAGCCCGTCCAACTCCAGCTCCAGCTCAGACTCCAGCTCAGACTCAGATTTTGAGCCCTCCCAGAACCACAGCCAAGGTGTGTGATGAGGCTCAGAGGCCGAGGTGGGCAGGCAGAGAAACTTCAGCCCCCACTCGTAGGCGGCTGGGTATGTGGTTCGTCATCAGAGAAGATGATCTGCGAGACACTCCCTCACGAGACTGAGTTTTGTTGCATGCCTGAGGGTTGGCCGCAGAGGCGGGAGGCAGGACATAGTGGGAGCTGCTGCTGCCACAGTCAGACTGGGGGGCTGGCTGGGGGTGCAGGAAGCCAGGGCCTGAGGCTGTGCAGCCTGACTTGGGCTGACACGGCTCCTTAGTATGGAATGTCCCGGGGACCCGTGTCTGTTGAGTTTTGGTGGTGGGGGGGGAGTTTGTATGTAAAAGCAAAACAGAACTGGGCAACCTTCAGGACGCTGGTATGGAGGTTCCGGGGACCCTCCTCTCCGGGACCTCCCAAGCAAAAGTACCTTGTGGGCAGCTTTGTGTTTTTTGCCCATCCTGTCCCCGCCCCCCTGGGAGGTTCATGCTTTCTGCAGACTGGGAATTCTCAGAATGCTGTGCTGTCACTCAGGCATTTGGCTGGCACTTAGGCCTAGGCCACCATCTCTGCATGTCTGCTCTCTCCCTACAGGCCTCCATGTGGGGTTTTAGGGAGAGGGAATAAGGCCCAGTTGACCACTACAGCCTACCCCAGGGTGGGAGGGAACTGGGCAACCTTCAGGACGCTGGTATGAGAGCAGCTGGGGCCCAGCATAGACCTCAGCAGCCACCTTCAAACCAGAAGCAGGTCTTCTAGGGATGGGAATGAAACTCTCCTCCCCTCTAGCTGGAATCCCTTGGTGGGGGTGGAGTCGGGGGAGTGTAGGGTCTGACCTGGAATTCAGGCACGGGTTGGGGGATGGGGTCCTTGAAGCCCACGCTTATCGGCTGGTTAGGGAGGGGAACCTACTGAAGCGGCATCATGTGACCAAGGTAATTGAGGGCTTTGTGTCCCTCTGTTGCCTTGGCAACAGGAATATAAACCAAGATGCCGTCTGTAGGGGACTGGAACCAGGCGCCTCTGGAGAAAGGGGAGGACGGTGGGCTGGGAGCAACAGACAGGGTTGCTGAGAGGCTGGGTAGGCCTGAAAAGGGCCGCAGGCTGGACAGGGGTCTCTGGTTCCTGGCACAGCATTCGAGCCCACGCTCTAGCTCCTGTGCTTTCCTCAGTGAGGCTGGCTTGTCCTGAGCTCTTGGGAGCCTCTAATATCTGATCCAGTGGCTTCGTGATGGAGGGGCCCTGTGGCCCTGCTGCAAGCCAGGGACCCGAGACCTGCGAGGAGGGCCAGGAAGGTAGGGAGAGATTGGGAAGAGGCAGAGGGTCCTTTAGGAATGGGACACTGAAGGGCGGGGAACAGTGTTTAGGGATTGGCCTTTAGGCCCTCCTAGCAGGAGGGACCTCCAGAGGAGACTGTGCATTTGGAGGGGGGTCATTGTCAAGAGGTCTCAGTAGAGACCTCCCTGCCTTGTTCTTCCCCAGGACCCCTACGCTCGATGGTGGAAGACCTGCAGTCTGAGGAGTCTGACGAGGATGACTCTTCATCAGGCGAAGAGGCGACCGTCAAGGCAAACCCAGGCCGCGATTCCAGGTGACTGGGCCCAGCAGGAGTGGGCACTGGTGGTGATCAGGGTGACTATTTGCTTCTCTCCAGCCAGTGGCCCCAGGTATCCATTCCTGGCATTGGCAAAAACTGGCAGGCCAGAGGGGGGCTAGGAGCAGAGGGTCTCTCAGGAGAACCAAGCCAGGGTCAAGTTGCAGCATGGGGAGACACCCTAGCCAGCTGGACATTGGGCCCCGGGCAGCTTCATCCTGCCTCCGCCCTAGGGTCAACTGACCTCTCCTAATCACCAGAGCTGTGGGCCTCCTGGGCCTGCTCTCCTTCCTAGGAGGCCTTTCCCTGTTGCTGAAGTGTGCTGCCTGGCAAGGAGGATTCCATTTCAGCTGTCCAAGTACCAGTGCTATAGGAGGCATGTGGGGGGGAGCACACTGGTCCTCTGCAAGGACCCCTCAGCCCTCCCACATGTGTGGTGGGGTGAGGGCCACCTGAGACGCCCTGCATGGAGAGCAGTGTCTGGCCTTCTCCCAGTGAGGGATGAGTATGTCCTTTGGATGCCCCTGATGCTTGGAGAGGTCCACTTGGGGTGGGGGAGCTCTGTGTTCCTAGCCTCCAGATCAGGAGTGCCCTAGAGCAAATCCTGGCCTTGGCTTTAGGACCTAGGTATCAGAGGAGGCTCTGAGCCCTGTCAGGGCAGTGAGCGCCAGCTGGACGGCAGGGGCTGGGATCAGCTGAGGCCACTGGGCCCTCTTTAAATCAGAGGTGGATGCCAATCTACACCAGTGGGCTTCATGAACCACAGAAGGCTTAATGGACACGTGCAGCCCGCTGTGATGTTGACTAAAACCCTCTTTTGGAGTGCTGGGGCCAAGAGGGTGCTCACACAGGTCCACCACGTGCCAAGGCTCCCTGCCACCCCATGTGCACAGAGGAGCCCAGTAGAAATGGGAGCCTGGCAAGAAAGATTCAGGCCTGGGCACCAAAGGGGACTCAGTTCCTGGGTGCAGGGAGAACTGTGACTTTCCCAGGACAGGAGAAGCAGCAGGCTTCTGCCTCATGTAGTGATGCCAAATGTGGATTCTGCACAGGCACAGAGCCATGCGCTCAGACAGACAGACACAGTCCTGTTGGAGGGGCCTACAACAGTGTGGGGACCCAGTGAGAAGCAGCCCTTCTGACTTGAGTCCACTTCCCAGGGGCATTTGTGAAAGGCCCTGGTGACAGCTTGCTTGTCAGAGAAGGCCCACGCAGGCTGGGAAGCTGCAGCAGGTGCTGGCAAGGCCCCACCTGTCCTAGTGTGTTTCTTGGAGAGACCCTGGGTCTGTGATGGCGTCCAGCACCACCTGTTGGACATGAAAAGAAGCAGAAGTAAGGAGTAAGCAGAAGCTGTCACGTTGCCCTGGCAACGAGAGAGATCTGGCTCCAGCTCTCAGCCTCAGAGCAGAGGCTCCCAACAGAGCCTAGCTGACCGCTCCTGGACAGCAGGAGGAGCAGATCACCGCACAGAGGGGTGGAGTGCACCCTGCTTGGCTCCAGCCCGCACAGCCTCAGGCACATTGCCCAGTGGCAGGGCCTATGTGAGGCAGGAGAGGAAGTGTGTTGAGCATGTCTGTCGGGGGCTCCCTGCACAGCCCTGACAGGGTCCCTGGTAGAACAGGGATCCAGGCAGTGGGATGGGTGGCACCCACACGGCTATTTGGGGGTCCCTCTGTGTACCCCTCTTGCTGTACTGCAAGAGGTGGGAAAAGCTTGTAGGTCTGGGCTGGGGTGTTTTACCCACACTGAGAGGGTGAGGGCCACGGGGCTCCCAGGAGGCCACCTCTTGCCTGCCTGTGGCCATCACTGTAGAGTGCTCGTTACTTCCCATGTGATCACGCAGCCTCTTTTACAGATGAGGAAACTGAGGCAGAGGTGGAAGTTCCCCTCAGGGCATCTTATCACCACCAGACACCCCCATGTTGGTGGCCCCGCTGGGCATCGGGGCCCTGCATGGGGTAGATCCTCTGGCAGGCGGCACCTTCTGGAAAGGAGCAGAGCCGGGCTGAAGGGCAGACTCCTGACACACCCTGTCTGGCAGTGGTGACCTCACATGGGCACACCCTTCCTCCATTTAGCCTCCTGGAGCCCAGCACAGGCTGGTGCCAACACCGCAGCCTGAGTGCAGGGCACTGTCTTAAGGCCAGTGGCCGTTACACCTGACGTGCTGCCTTGTCTGTCATTCAGGTTGAGTTTCAGTGACAGTGAGAGTGACAATAGTGCCGACTCCTGCTTGCCTGGTCGTGAGCCCCCACCCCCGCAGAAGCCCCCCCCACCCAACAGCAAGGTGAGCTCCTCACCCCCAGGCCCCACATGAGGTCCCTGTGGCCCTCCTGGGAGGGTTTGGAGGCGTTGGTGAGAAGAAGGAATGAGCTCAGCAGAGACCTTGGGTTCCCCGCAGGCATCAGGCCGGAGGAGCCCCGAGCCCTGCAGCAAGCCTGAGAAGATCCTCAAGAAAGGCACCTACGACAAGGTGGCCGGGCGGGGTGGCCGGGTTGGCGGCACAGCCTAGAGGCTTTGAGCCCCCAAAGCTGGACTGCCCTCGGGAGGGGGTGGCCTTTCCCCAGGTCCCAAGGAGGTGCTTTCCCCCCAGGGGGCAGGCACTGTGCTGGAGGGGCTGCAGGTGGGGCGGGCAGGTGGGGGGCTGTGCTGAGGCTCCCGCCCTCCCAGGCCTACACAGACGAGCTGGTGGAGCTGCACCGGAGGCTGATGGCGCTGCGGGAGCGCAATGTGCTGCAGCAGGTACTTCCCGGTGAGGGTGGGGCACGAGCACCCTACCCCAGAGCCTCCCTTCTTGGGGTCTGCGGGGCCACCCTACCCTCAGCCCTCTGACCCAAGGCCACCTGCCTCTGCCTTGCAGATCGTGAACCTGATTGAGGAGACTGGCCACTTCAATGTCACCAATACCACCTTTGACTTCGATCTCTTCTCCCTGGACGAGACGACCGTGCGCAAGCTGCAGAGCTACCTGGAGGCCGTGGCCACATGACCCTGGGCCAGGTGCCAGGCCCCCACCGCCAGGGTCCTGGGAGGCCATGTCCAGGCCCTGCCTGCCTTCCTCTCTCTTGACTTGCCCGCCCGCAGCACTGCCTTAGTGACCGCCCTGCCCTCAGCCCTCACAGCCAGCTGCACTTTTCTGGGTGGCTTCCAGCCTGCCACCCACCACCCTGTTGGGAACCTGGGGCCCAGGGTTCGGGCCAGTGCTGCAGCTCCCAGCCTCACGTGCACCATCACCTGGGCTCCCCTCAGAATGCGGTTTATGTTGAAGGTAGCGCTGGGCCTCGCTCCCGAAAGAGGAAGAAAATTCCATGGAATGTGTATGACTGAGGGCCCCTTATCAGACCTAGGGACCAGCCCCCTAAACAAATGGTGGCTCTGTCCCCAGCTCCATGGGGGCTCTGTGCCGCCTTTTCTCTGTCTGGGCCTCTCTGAGCAGCTGGGGCCACCTCCGCAGCCTGCCTGGGACCTGGGGAGGCTCTGTCTGTGTCTGCACCAGGCTGGGCCACGCTGCCCTCTGTGCCAGCCGGCATTGCGTCCTGTGTGGGTCCTCACTGTGCCAGGCCTCCGTGCTGTGCAGCTCTATGTATAGTATATATATGTGCACGCTGTGTGTCCAGAAGCAGTTTCCAATGTGCGTTTCTGTGGCCACGGTGCACGTGGGGGGTGGGGGGTAAGGTGGGGCTTATAGGTTAAGGTGTCTCCGTGGGTCTTCTTGCCGGCTGGCCTCCCAGGGCACAGAGGAACCCCCACTTTGTGGGTCCAAGGGTGCCGCTGCCCCCCTGCCGGGGCTCCCAGAGCCAGTGAACATGACCACGGGGTGGCCAGTCCTCAGGGCACTGGGGGAGCTGCCCCTCCCTGGCAGCTCCTTAGGTGGGTACCCAGTCTCTAGGGACAGACGCTTAGCCTCTGGGCTGCTCCTCCTGTAGGATTCTCTTCCTCCCCTTCTGTTAATCAAGTCTTCGAACTTTGAAAAAAAAATGAGCTTTTGCCAAATAAGACGGGATAGTCTGTGGTTTGGAGGTACGTGTGCACTCAGCCTGTGGCTGGGGTGTGGGCCCTACTGGGCATAGGCCTCAGGCTCCTCTCCTCGTGCGACTTCCGCCTCCATGGCTGCGGTTCACCCTGGGTGCAGCCTGGAGGCTGAACTGTGCACCTGGGATTCTCCAAGGACCGAGCCAGTCCAGCTCCACCCAGCCCGCCTTTCCAGGGCCCGGAGCCCTTGTAGTCAGCCAACTCTGGGTTTTCCCAGACCTTGATCCAGAGCTCCTCCACACCCCGGCCCCAGCTTCAGAGTCTGTTCCAGTGTTCGCGCCCTGACACGGTGTGGGAAGGAGGACTGGGCCTGCGGTGGCCCCCAGTTCTCCAGCCCACGGTGGGCGTCTCCATCTCGCCTGCTGATGTTCAGACACAGGAGGTGGCAGGGTCCCTCGTCTTGTCCTCGCTCTGGGTCTGCCTGTCAAGCAGACCTGAACACTCCCTGGGGGGACCCCAGCTCCAGCTGGGGAGAGCCCCAGATTCTCGGGGAAAGGCCAGGAACTCAGAGGAAGCCTCAGCACCGACTCTCCCATGCTCACTTTCCTGCCCACTGCCTTCAAAAGGAGGAGGGCAGGCCACCAGTACTCCAGAGGGGAACGTCTCCTTCTCTGGGAACACTCCAAGACATGGACAGAACAGACCGGCCCTGCAGAGGCTGCTGGGAAGATGGCAGCTGTTCAGTCCTCGGTGCAGAGGCAGCAGGTCACCAGTGGGCCCTCAGCGGGCTGTTCTTTCTCCTTGGTGGGATTGTCCAGTCCACACAGCAATGTGGGAAGCCCTCCTGCCTGCCCTCGGTAGCAGCATCCAGTCCTTCCTGCAGTTCTGTGGCCTCCGGAAGTTTCGACCCGTTTCTCAGTTACCTCCTCTGACCGGAAGGTCTCACCACTGTCCCCTGGAGCTGCTATGGGCCCAGGACTGGCCCTGTGGCCACCAGTGGAGGTGCCGGGCAGCCAGGACCTGACTGCAGGGTTCCTGCTGCTCCCCACCCCCGCTGGGCTCTGGGGACGCTTCCATAGGAAGGACCCAGCACTCTGTGACTGCCATGTGTCTCATGTTAAAGCCACCTGCTCTGGTGCAAATCCCTGTGTTTCACTTTCTCCTGAGCAAAATGTAAACCGATGCCGGACAGCGAAGGGTGTCCAAGCCTTTCTCACCCGCAAGGGTTTTTACCAGAATCTGTCTCTAGGAACTGAGGAACTGGGACACTTAATCGGCCTGAGACCAACTCCTGGGAAAAAGGAATAAGGAGAATTGTGTTTGTAATGAGTTACAGGATTGTTTCTGTCCTGAATTTTAAACTTTTTTTTTTTTTTTTTGTTAAATTGTGAAATTATGGAGGAGTTTTATAGAAAAAAAAAAGTGAAATAAAGTCAGATGGGAAAGCAGCCCTCTGCATGCATGTGGTGTCCTGGGACAAGGTGCACAGTCCTCTCGTCCCCGTGCCTGTAGACCCACTACCAGGAGAGGGAGGGAAGGCTGGCACCAAGCCTGGTGGGCTGCAGGTGGGGTCGACAGTGTGACGGGTTGGCACCCTGGAGAAGCAGACGTGGCCCCGCAGGGTGTGTGTGGCCTTTGCTGCTGCTCGGCTGTCTCCTTGGAAGCAGGCAGCAAAGTCTGGGTGGCAAGGGGAGCCTGACTTCAGAGGACGGAGGCGCATGGTTGGGTGAGGAGGTGGAGGTGGTGGGAAAAGAAAATGGGGGTAGAGGCACCCCTGACAGGAGTCCAGGTGACAGCCAGCCTGTTGATGGAACCCAGCAGAGCTCTCTCACTCTACCCAGCGAGCAGCACTGCCGGCCAATACCCTCTGCCACTACCCCACCCCCAGTAGCAGCCAAGGATTGGAGACCACTTGTCAGCAGGTGGCAGCCAGAGGACAGGACACAGCTGAGCCCTGGATCACTCTAGGAGCATGTGTCCTCCTTTCTCCTAGTCAACAGCCAAAATTTGCAGTCCCAACATGAGGGCTGCAGCCTCCTCTGCTCCTGCCCTTCCTGTGAGACTAATGCAGCTTTGGGGGAGGGTCTTGGATCGGAGCTCCTGAGGTTGGCACCCCCAGCCCTGCTTATTTTTCATTTTGAGACAGGCTCTCACTAAGTTTTTAAGGATGGCCTCAACCTTACAATCCTCCTGTCTCAGCCTCTCATCTCACTGGGATGACAGGCATGGCCACCGTGCCTGGCTCTGAGCTCATTTCCAAGCCTCTTCTAATAGTTGGGTTCTGGGTGGGGTTTAATGTGCACCATTTGAACCATGAGTCCCCTAAGTGTTCCTCATGAGTACAGTGTGTGAACCTGGGTGTCCCCTCCTCCCTGCACCTAGGCTCACCCAGCACCTGTGCCTCAGGCACTGGCACACAGCAGTGGCTCCTGTCTGTGGAGGAGCCCTCTCCAGCTGCGCCTCAGTGGCTTCTCACATGAATCATTTTGAGAGTAAAGCAAGAAGCCCGTGGGCTCCATTGCAGCAGTTCTGAGTCTCCCAGGACCTCTACTCAAAGCCAGAGTGAGGACTTGGTTGAGCCCAGGGTCCCTCTCAGCACTGAGACCTCTCAGAGCTGGGCGGGCAGTTCCTCCTGCTGAGCACTGCAGGCCAGCAGCTCCCCAGGCTGACAGACACAGGGCCCAGACACCACCCAGCTGAGAGCCACCCTAGTGAACCAAGTTTATTATTAAAATGTAAAGCCCTTGTCCAGAGAGAGCCAGCTTCCTTCAAACCCGCCTCACTACAGGCACTTTCCCTTCCTCTGGGAATCAGCCCTGGACTGTCCACAGGAGGGACAGAGGCAGGGGTCAGGCCACCTGCAGAGAAGGCAGCCCAGCAGAGCCTCCTGGTCATTAACCACAATCCTTATACAAGTCGTTGATTTCCGCCTGGTACATCTTGGCCACCGCCACCCTCTTCAGTCTCTCCGTGATTCCTGTGACATAGCAGAGGTGTGAAGTGGACCTGCCCTGGAAGCCCCCACACAGCAGGGTTAGAGGGCGGGTCCTGGGGAGCTGGAGGCCCCACTGGGAGCCAGCGGAAGGGAACCAGGGGGCAGGTGAGGGGACTCCACCCTGAGATCTGGAGCATTCTGACAAAAGTGTTCAAGGTCCCAGGGTGCAAATGACCCCCGGGGTGGAGACTGCACCAAAAGTCTGGGTCAGATGTGGACATGCAGGGTGGGGGGCAGCGTTGGGGGCAGTGCCTCTTCCACTCCAGAAGCCCTGGGGAAGGGAGCCCACACACGCACGGGGCTGGGGTAGGTTTTGCTGGTCAAGGCCTATCCCCCATGTCTGGGGAGCTGGCAGGCCAGTGACCAACCAGGACCACTGCCCACCATCTGCTCACCAAGCTCCCCGCCACCTACGGAGAAGTCTGTGTCCAGTATGGCCCACTTGATGATCCTGGCACTCTCCGAGAGCGCCTCTGCATTCACAGCCTTAATCCCCTGGCTGATGAACTCCATGACAACGGGGTCGTGTTTGTGGAGGATGTCCGTCAGCCTGGTGGACTGGCTCTTGAGCTTCCGGCAGAAAGCCACGGCCTCGCTGGTCAGTGCTGTGCGGGGCTCTCCAGTCTCTGAGTTGATCTGGCACTGTGGAGGGGGCCGGGTCAAGGCTGCCCCCCAACCATCCACACCCACCCCCACACCAGGCCAGGGGCTGGCCACCGTGGGTCACCAGTCACTAGACTGTCTGTCCTGTTCCACCCAGCCCATCCACTGCGGGCACTCACTCCCAGACCCAGGTCCTGGCTGCCTCCAGGAGGAGGGAGGGGATGTCCCCTGTGTGCAGGGCTCCCCTGCTGGAGAGGGCGAGCCTGGCGTGGTTGGGATGCTGCTCTCGGGGGGAGTTCCTGTCCCTGTGGAGGCCAGCACCTCCGGTCCCCAGAGCCCACTCTCCCCTACAACCAGAGGTCCTGGACCGGCATCCCTGAGCAGTGGCCCTCCATCCACTCTGAGAAAGGCCATAGGACAAACACCAGGCTCCACTGCCCTCAGAGCCAGGGGTGCCCTCCGTGCTGGGGACTGACAAGTCACCCCCCCAGCTCTGAGCCTCGATTTCCTCTTCTTGCAACAGGACAGCAGTTCCCACCAACCAGCCGCCATCCCAGACTGTCCGAGGCACCTTCAGTGTGAGGAGGGCACACAGGTACGGGGCGTCCTGGCCCACCACCATGACGTGGCGCACGATGGGGATGTGCGTCTTCACCCGCTCCTCGATGGGGCGGGGGTTGATCTTCTCCCCTGAGCTCAGGGTGATGAGGTCTACACGTGGGAGGGAGGAGGGGCAACTCTGAAAAGCCACATCCAGTCGGCCCCCGGGGATGCCAAGGCAGCAGATCAGGTAGCAGACACCGTCCCACAGCAGCACCCCCTTGCAGAACAGCAGCCCAGGCACACAAGGGTGGCCCTGCCTCCAAGCCCAGTATTGGCCCTAAGTGGCCTTGTACTGTATGCCACCTGCACCACCATCCATGGCAGCCCCACAGACCCAACCCTGCCTCACCCTTGACATTGCCCAAGACATAAAGGAAGCCATTAACATCCAAGCAGCCCAGGTCTCCGGTGTTCATCCAGCCGTAGCAGTCCATCATCTTCTGGGT